TTACTGCCGATTTAATACGAGTATTGTATGCAACCCATTATACATTTTAAGATGTGTCTACTGCTCCGCAGCAGCAACTAAATAAGTTAATTTTATTAATTAGATTAAAAGGCATGACGCGTAGTGCAGCGAGAGCTCTTAAGACGTAAAAGTTTAAAGTTTAAAACCTACAAATTTTATAAAAGTGCAAACCAATTATAGTGAAACAAACAATTTTCATAAAGTGCAAACTAAAATAGTATAACGGTCAATAAAGAGTGAAGTGTTAAGTGATATGAAAGAGTTAAGTGACAAGTTTCAGCTTCTGGTCCTATAGGTATACCACCTGTCATTGGACGCTTTTCACTAGACAAACAAAAGTGGCCATCCGCAAAAAAATTGATAAGTATCCTTAAGCATGTGCATGATCTAACACATAATTTGCAAATTAAACATGACAGATATCTTTAAAACCCTAAGAAAGGCACACTGCTTAAACTCTAGAAAAAAAAACAATAAACATCAGTAACCATAGAAACATTAGAAAGACAATACTAACCAAACACCATAAAATAATAAAGAAAAAAGACAAATAAAAAAAACAAAATTTCCCAATCGAACTATCGCGGTGATACATCAAAGCTGTGTAGGACAATAAATCTGTCAACATCAAATGCGTAACGCATGAAACCCAAACGAGACCAATAATAAACATTTGACACACAGAATTAAGTAACACTCAATAAATCATTATAACCTTAAAATAGTAAAAACAGCAAAAACGAATACCAAGACGTAGGCTCCTGCAGCAAAATAACAACTTCCGAACTCCAAACAGTAATCCCAAATGTTTGGAGTAATACTAAGTGCCTGGTCTAGGGGGGTACCGCGTCGTACTTAGATTTAAGTCGGGGTAATTGTCCCCCAAACACCAAACTGTGTATCCCTCCCCTCCTACCTCCTTCATTACCCTACTGGACGTATAGCATCGGCTCGGCGAACCCGGGAATGGCTACTAAAACTATTGGCATTTCGTTCTCGAGCCCTAATTAGGGGACAGTACGGGACGCAATGGACATTCGAAATCAGCAAACACGGGTGAAGCCGCGCCGTTGCTGGTGACGTAGACAATTCCTACATTCAAATGACATTTGATTTGATCATCAAATGACATTTGATTTAATCATCAATATTAATTATTAGTATTATTAAATGTTATTTCGGATAAAATTTAATATGCACCTCGGCATTAAAGTCATTTTTTATCACTCACGTGGTTATTTGCCTCAACAATTTTTATATTTTTAACATGCTTATTTTAGCGCTTAGATGATAGACGATTATAATACCCCATGGTGATTAAAATTTGCTGATCTACAGGCAAAAAAACGTTAATTCTAAATAAATAACTTTTTTAAAGCATTATTAATTAAAATTAAAAATAAAAAAATTTTGTCGTCCTAAAAACACATTTTTTGCTTGCATAGGTGTACGAAGGTGTAAAAACGTAATATTATTTTAATATGTCACTTAATGTTATCATAAATGAACGAAAATATTGTAAAAGGATAAAGGGTCAACGATAAGTGCCGGTTGTGTCAATTTATTTTAATATATGGGCAGCGGTGAAGGACTTTTGGGTGGCCATCAATACACATCGCATGTTCTAAATGCGTGTCATATTTCCAGAGGAAATATCCTATCGCGATCCTCCTTTCTCTTTGGCTTAGGATTACTATGATTTTCTCTCACATTCCTTTTTTGGTTGTAAAAAAGTCTATAAAATTCGTTTTTTATTTATCGTTACATTAAATTGTTTCCATCTAATGCAATCATTACTTATAAGAATATATCCATATTGGTGTATATAAAATTTTGTATGCACCGATCGTGGTTTTAGACGCAATAAAAATAAAAGCAAACATTAAACATTTATATAAAAAAAGATTTATTCCTGGGCGGAAATACACAACATGACAAGATTTTGCAGTTTGCAACATTGATTTAAAGTTTCCTTTTTAAACACAAAAATAACAGATTGTTGAAGCTATGCTTCTTATTGTAGCGAGTACCCCTCTGGATCTCGGAATGATGACTCATCGCCGGTGAGTCAGCGCTCGAACAATCGAGAGCGGTCCGGAGCTCGCTGGAATATTCGAGAAGGCACGTAGGCACTGAATATATAAGTAACAGCGCAGCATGGAGCAGTCAGTCAAGCTTTGGTACTCGCGATAAAATAAATAAATATACGTGCAAATAAATAGACTCTTGTACAGTGGTGATATATAAATAATTAGTAGTTAAGTGTTTAGTCAGTTTTATAGTTTCTTAGTGTTTTAAGTGTAGACGATCACGAATATGCCAAAACAAGTATTTCAGTATACTTAAAGAATCGGGATACAAAAATACATAGTGTACCTTACATAATTATGGATATAGGATTTTGTTGTTAAATCAACAAAATGTTTGTTATAATTACAAACTACCTATTTAATTAGTAAACAGATTACAGTTGGTTGTAAACTTAACATAAAGTTATGTGGAGTTACATGGAATCTGGTTAATATTATAATATTATAATATTATAGGTTAAAATTAACAAATATTTTTACTGTGAAGTAGGCAAAAAAAAATCACAAATTGGATGAAATTGTAGATAAATGTGTATACATGTATGTATGTATGTATGTATGTATGTATGTATGTATGTATGTATGTATGTATGTATGTATGTATGTATGTATGTATGTATGTATGTATGTATGTATGTATGTATGTTTACATGTGAAAGTTTTTAAAAATTCCCAGGAATAACGAAGATAAAACGATTTACCATTTAAATAGACTTGTAATTACGTAACTTCTTTAATTTAACCCAATATAAGGATACTTGGTGTACCTTGTATACTTATGCAACTGCTTTCTAAAGTTCGTCACCACTCTCTGATCTTGAGGTATATGGTCTTTTCAGGCCTATTTCACCATACCAAAAATATATACGATTTGGGAATTATTATGAGTATTGATAATTTTAACGAGCGATAATATTTATTGTATTGTATGTATAATATATTTTTTTTAGAAGAATGAAGCGTAATTAATTTGGGCTGGAAAATTTCGTACTCAAACCTTATCATTGACGTAAACTTTTAACCTAGAGCGTTTTTTAGCAAAAACAAATTTCATCCACATCACTTGTGGAGACTATGAACGTATACGTCGTTCAATCAATCGGAAATTCACAATAACCGAGTCGCTATAGCACGCTTCCAACCTAATACGTATTCATAGGGGGAAAAATCAGCAGAAAAATTCAATTCGGTAACGCCGAAATCAAATTTAGAAATTTTGCTTCGAATTATTTTCGCTAAACGCAGTTTTCTCGGGTGTTTTTATTGTTATTTTGTGTTATAACCAACTTTTTTCAATTTTGATTAGAATCTTTAGAAAACGTTAACAACAATTAAAAGAAAAAACTGCCAAAGCGCTTTTTTATCCATTTTATTTTCAGATTTATTAAAACTTCTTGCGTAAAATGAAGTTTAAGAACTTGTTAATTAACCCAGTTTTATTTAACCATTAATTAAAAAATTATTTAATAGTTTTAGAAGTTTAAGTGTCTACTTTTTTTATTTTTAACATACAGCTAGAAATAATAATAATAATTATTATTACACTGATATACAGAAAAAATATATTTGTTAATAAAGCAAATTTTAAGAAATTAACAAGCCATAAGTACGTAATCTATTGATGAAATGTGCGATTTGCACTCTTTGGAATAAATGGCCTTTGACCAGGACCATTTTTATTTAATTAATTTACAATTTTGACCTGTAGTGGCCACAAACAACTTCAACTTTTGTATTTTTATTTAAGAACATTGTTCATATTATAACTAGTTGAATTTTATAAAATGGTGAATTTACTTAAAAAACATGTTTCAGATTTAAAAGCCGGTATATAACAATGGTCTTATGTATCGGGTTTCTTAAGTTTAATAAATTATTTTAAGGGATTTTATTAAGTTGTTAATCATTTAATTTAATTAATTTAAAAAGTTTAAATCAAGTTAGCCATAAGCATCAACATATCAAGATATTTTTTCGAAATAAAAACGTGTTGTCTTATAAAGATAAACACTTGTTTATTTAGTTGTGTTGACTGAATATCAATCGATACACAGTATTAAATAGATTAGTAAATTCATAAGAAAATTTTATAGGATGTTCTTTAGTAATAAAAGACTTGGGGTGACTTTTTGACTCAATTATCTAAAGTACAGTAAATCTGTAAAAAAATTGGAAAAAATGGATCATAGTCTTCTGCAAAAATCTTTTCGGGATAATCAAAAATCTTTTCGCGAAAAAAAAAGTTGATATGAATTTTGTAGGTTTTTTCGATATAAACAATTTTTTTAGTTACAGTTACAGCCTTTTTTCTGTACTATTTCGAAACTATTTATAGTACAAATAACAATTAAAAAAAAATTACTACAAAAATTAAAAAAAAAAACATTTTTCTTTAAATTAAGTGTTGGATATTTTAACTTCCCAGACACCATAGGTGCTATCAATTAAAGTATTTTTTAATGATATTAAAGCAATACTAATAAAATAGGATATCGGAGTAAAATTAAACCATTCAAGAAATTAAACTTCTAAAATACAATAGAAACATAAACACATAGTTTTGTTGTAGCGATTTTCTTTGTAAAACTTTCCAAAACTAGTTTTAATATACACAATGGTTTTGTTTTCCTTTCAAAAGTTTTCAGTCGGTTTAACTGGCTATTACTTAAGGCTGTTAAATACAGTTGGGGGTAGTTCAAGTATTCCATACAAATAGCATGAACTTTTGTTAAAATATCTTAAATAAAAATATATAAATTTTACAAATCATAAATCTTTTTATAAAACTATATTTTATATTGCAGGCGACACAAAGTAATACTTTTAGAAGAATGAAAAGGAAAATAAAAGTACTCTTTCAATATAAAAATATTTAAAAGCTTTATGTACCTTCAAAGTCGACTTTCCTTAGATATTTGAGAAGTTCGGTGCCCTTTGTAGGTTTCATGCTGTCACACAATCCAGGCTGGCCGTGGCACAAATCTCGATGCATATCCCTGCAAATAAATAAAAGAAAATGAATTTTTATACAGCACGTGTTTTGTGAATCAATTTAAAAGTTCCTAATCAGATTCGCCAATTTGCCAATACTAATTAGCAGGCACGTGTGCAAGGGGGGTTCAAACACCCCCACATGAGGGTGAAATATTAAGTAATATCCTAAAAAATTTTATTTTTAAGAAATTTTACTTTAAAAACTGAAAGATAACCTATAATTATTTATTTTTTATAAAATATTTCAATTAAAATTAAAAATTAACTTAATATTACATATTTTTTATGAAATTTGATAAGCCCCCCTCAGGGGCAAATAATGCGCACGGCCCTGAAATCTGAATCTGAAATCAGAAAAAGGACAAACATTATTATAATATACGTTTATTATTAATATATGAATAAAAACAACACTGTTAAAGTTTTACTATTTTTTCTACTCCCACCTTTAAAACGCCGTACATGTTTCCATGACACTAAGTGACCTTTTAAATACACATTGACAAGTTGTGGCTTTATGGCGCTTTAGTTACGGGCTGAAGTTAGCAACAGGTTTTTAGTCACGGGCTGAAGTTAGTTTTAAGTTAGTTGACAGTTGTTAAATGTCATACAATCGTTAAAATAAATTGCCTTTCTTGTAAAATAATACTAAATGTAAAAATTATTTTATTATCTCAATACAAAAATACCAAAGTATTAAATAATTTTTCAACGCCAATATTTGAAAAGTTTATATGAACATTGTACTGAACTTTTAATTTCGCCGCCATTAAAATATAACTTAAATTCGGGCACGGACCCCACTGTAAAGTGCTCATAAAATATTTTCTTTACTTTCACTGTGAAAAACTGTCAATTATCTATTTATAACCTTTATAAAATACAAAAATTTGACATTTGGCGGTGACACACAGATTCCCCTATTGTTTCATAGATGGCGCTCTATACAAATTTTTGATTTAAATCATTTTAAGATAATAATAAGTATTTTTCGTAGAAAAAGTATAGTATGCACCTCGTTTATAAACTTTTCTATACACTCATAATATACTATTATTTAGGTTTTTTAAAAAATTAACAATTGTTTTGCTACACGGTAGCTTTTTTAGAATAAGTACAAATTTTTCTTAAGTATTTATATACCTAATCTAATGCAGATATTTGATAAAAGTGTTGTTTAAACATTATACCTGAAGGTATTAATAAAACATACACAATTTTGGAAAAACTATGGATTTGGAAAGTCATATTTAATATAATTTTACAATATTAATAAATATTTTTTTAGTAGGTATTACATACATAAATTTAGCAAAGGAAAGTTGTGGGTTTAAATTTGGTCATTAATATCCGATTTTTTATTTATTTTATTAATTTCCAAAGACTCCAGAAGAAATAGTTTGGTGCCTTTATTGGCTACACGTAATATTCTATAGTTATCGTCAAATGTATTAGATGGTTATCATATGAAGAATCCTGTTAATCCACTTAATACAAATTTGTACTTATTTTGAAAAAGTGTAGCGAAACAATTGTTAGTTTTTTAAAAAACATAAATAAAATTTCAACAAGTAAAGGTCGAAACAATCAACAATACGTTTATTACAAAAATAAGAAGTTGACTTTCGAACGCATCAATAATGCACTTGTTTATTTATTTCTTAAAAACTTTGTTTAGAGAAACAATCGAATATTTAAGTTTCAAACTTTTATTTGAGGATTATGGTCTTGATTTGATTTATAAGTAAAGTAAAAGAACTACCGGGTACCCGGAAATTCTCGGTAATCAAATAATGATGAGTCTCGACTTTAAAAAATGTCGGAAAACAGAAACTCTAATACTAAAACCAAAGAATAATTATACGCTAGCAAATAATGAGTTTATTTTATAAACAAAATATGAACAAATTATGATAGCGCCAACTTTCTAGATCAAATAAAAAGTTTATTTTTAAAACTTTAATTTAGATTAGGAGCAAATAGGCTGTGATAGACTGACAGACAGACACGAAAGTAACCCTACATTGTTAATAAAAACCAGATTTGATAACATCAGTTTGTAGTTTGTTAATTTTATTTAGTAAAATTTTAACATAATTTTTACCGAAAGTTTTGTAAAGGTAATATGCAATTTTGTAAACATTTTGTTAATTTCAAAAGTTACTGTTTATTTAGTTAATGTTTAACAAATTATTTCGTTAAAAAAGTACAAGTGATTTCAGGCAGTCAATCAAAACATTTCCCACTGACAATACGTATCAACAAGTTCAACTGGCTTCAGCGTCTGCAACTTATGTTTCTGCTTACCTTCACTGGTTTTAAAACTAAAATTAGGGGATACAGTGAAGTGGGTTAAAGTTACGAAATACATCAGCAAGTGTTGGAGTATTATTGATAATTATATTGTTCCAAATTTCTTTATAATTTGATGATTTCAGAATGGTGTGTTATTTAATTGTTTGTATGATATTTTTGTGTTCATTTATGTAGGCATGTGTTAATTTTTTTGTTTATGAAATTGATTAATAAATCAACATTTCTTATCAAAATTTTTTTTATTTAAGTTCTTAATATTAAAATATTTTTTTTAATGGTTCTAAAAAAAGGTTTGTAAAAATAAGGTCCTCTTTAAAAATTACAAGAATTATGGTTGAATTGTTGATGTAGGATTTTGTTATTAAATCTACAAAATGTTTGTAATAATTACAAATTAATTATTCAATTAGTTAACAGATTACAGTTGGTTGTAAACTTAACATAAAGTTACGTGGACCTGAATTAACATAAAATCTGTTAAATATTTGTTTAAAATTAACATTTTTTTTTACTGTGTATAGGGTTAATTTTAAAGTTACGAAATATACATCCTAAATTAATTTAAAATTAAACAAAGTATGAAAAACCAATTCAACGCAATAATGTAATACAAAGTCAAAGCGTTGGGTGTTCTGTAAATGGTCCAAGTTTGAATATATTGGCATATATACAATTAAGTCCTTTGAGCTTAAACTCATCAACATCATTTTATCTGTAACAAATCATAAATACTGCGCTTGTCGGATAATTATCGTTTAGTATTCGTCTGCAAATATTTGACCGAAACATACGTAAAATTTGATTTCACAGTATGCGTCGTATGCAACAGTGATTCAGTGTATAAGTGTTAAATACAAGTTTGGGGTAATTAAATGCCAGCTTGTTTATTTGCCGGCAACTTTGATGCTATTTAATGGCTTTTAATTTAAACAGCTCGCTGGCATTTCGCTGAAATGCATGACGAATCATAGACATTACATTAATTAGCGTGTAGCCTTTCAATCTAATTTACCCTTTAAAATTAGTTAGTTAAAACATTAAAAACAAATTTAAATTAAAATAACATTTAAAACAACGTAAAAACCTCTTTTAAACTTTTTTTATCAAATTCGAAAAAAAACCCGGATTTCCCAATGTAATCAAAAAATTAATCCAAATTTATACAGGCCACATAAAAAGAATAAGTGACATTAACTTTGTTATTTCAATTAGCATAATATCAATTCTGAGTAAAATTTTTATACCATGTCCTATACCTCGTTAAAATTTGACAAATGCGCGGCAATCAATATATAGACCATAACTTTTTTGTTATTAGGTTTGTGGATATGGGGGAGAAATTTTTGGAATCTTAAAACATTGTTTAAAAGATTCCATGTAAATTTTTAAATTTTTCAACAAATTACCTAAGGTTTTTATCAAATTACCTGAGGTAACCCAGGGCAAATTACACTTGAAAAGTTAATAACTTTTTATTATAACACCCGGTATATTTTTATATATTCAAATAGTAAATTAAAAAACCATTCGAAAATGTTACTATTCCCTATACATAAAGTTAATAATTTTATAGATAGTGGAGTCCTGATATAGAAAGCCCATTTTGAATTACTATAGTATATATCCTGTAAATTTGAAGAGGTGCGTAAAGGTCTAGATTCATCTGAATGCGCAACGCAGACATTGCCTTATGTGATTTGGTCAAATTATTACCTAGTATTTTATGGTAATTATTAAGTTATTAGAGTTTGCCGACTAATGAGGCAAAATGGGCAATTGCGGACCCTCAATTGGATTGACCTCGAAGCTGGTTATTATTTACTCCTTATTCTAACAGTTGATTAAGCCTGAAGTCTAATAAATATTACATAAAAAATTATGTAACATTAAACATAAATTCAACAGTAAATAATTATAAAAACTTTATTTGGAGGATAGAGGCCTAATGCAGATGGAATACTTGACGGATAAAGTTAAATTTAAAATAGAAAAATAAAGATTATACTCAATCTACTTTTATCCAACAAATAAGCAAACAAACAAAGAAACAAACTAAAAATGAAAACGAGGAACACATACAGTATGATGTATTATTTATCTAATGGTATTTATATATTTATTTATTTATATTATATGGATATCGTTTATCGAAAAGGAACCAAGTGCCAAAAACTTTTCTGGGGTAAAAAAAATTATTTGCAAAATAACTCATTTTTAATGCTGCTAAAAAAATTAATAATAAATTAGGAACCTTCTTAATCCTCATTGTGGAAGGTTTTATGAGAGATTTATATAAAAATAAACAGGAGCCTTCCAGGTATTTGACCTGAGTTCAAACGTAATTTATTGTCTTTTATTGACGGTATTTATTATCTCCCTTTTAATACTTTGCCCCTCCAAAGTACCTTGGGTTACTAAATTAATGAGCTTTATTACCGTAAGTTTTTATTTTATTTATTTTTCGTAATTTAATATAACATTATCCGTGGTTTTATAATTCATTTATCATTTGGGGTGTAACTTTTACAGATTCTTTGCTGGGGGGGAAAGAACATTAAAAATAATAATTTTAGCAACTTTTTAATAATAAATAAATAAAGTAATTTGCTTCAACACTTATTTTCCCATCTGGCCCATGGTGCGGAGTTTTCTGTAAATTTATAATTCTCCATTTCAGCAATGAAAGACCGACTACAGCTTAAAAGGCGAAATTACTTTGAGTCTGTGGCCTTTTGTGGAAAGGTGTCAATTTGTACACAATATTCTTTTGCTCAGTCATTTAGACGTGAGAACCTCCAGCAGGATCTCTTGAAACATTTCACACACAGAATCCCTCGCACCTTTTAGTTGAATGAAAAACAAGAAATAAAAACAGGTTATAAACAGAAAAACAATAAATTTGGGCTTTTTATAAAAATAATCTTTTAAACTAAACAATATTTTAATTAAACTTGATTTTGATTAAAGGGTCGTTAATAACCAAAAACATTCAATAAATTACGAAATTAAGACTAGTTAAGACATCGGTTTTGTGCTTGAGAAATGTTGGGGATAATTTGTGAGATAAAATTCGAGTTTGGTCGTGTGTTTTGAATTCAGAGAAACATTTAATTTTATTCGAATTTTTAATTTTGTGAATTATTTTCAATGTTTTTAATTTAAATTCATGAAAGCATTATTTGTTGTTGCTGTACGCAATGCATTTATATTCATGTTAACTATATTTCAATGCAATTTCAAACTTTTACTGTGAAATTACATTTCAAATTTTCGTTTAACGTTTTACCATTTTTACTTTAGACATGCTGTTAACAGTAGATTAAAATTAAAAATAAATTTAAAAATTTACCGGACTTCATTTCAACCTTTGATTTAAAATTCTTTTTAGTGCTTTTATAAGAGATATATTTTTTTGCTGAAAGCTACAAGTTGACAGCCAAAATTTTAATAATAATTAGTTTATTATTTTAAAATAATGAACTTTATACAGGGTGTCCCAAAACTTTGAAGACAACTTATTTTTATGAAATAATTTACGAGGTGTGTTCAGAAAATAACGGGAATTGTTAAATTTTCTTTATTATGTTGGTATACATGCCCCCGAAGTATGATAAAAACTTTAGCTGTTTTCATTGTTTACTTTGTCTGGCGGCTGCCGCTAAGGTTAGACGTGTTTTATAAGCTCGGCGATTTTTCGTTCGTTAAAAGAAATGGATCAAAGAATTTGTATCCAATTTTGCTTAAGTAAAACAAGAGTTTACAAGTGGTATAAGAGTTTCCAAGATGGCCGTGAAGACGTTGAAGATGACGAACGCCCCGAACGCACAAGCGCATTAACAACCGATAAAAACATGGAAAAAGTGGAAGAAATGGTTATAAACCATCAGAGAAGTCGCTGATGATGTTGGTATATCGATTGGCTCATCCCATGGAATTTTTTAGAATGTTTTGGGTATGAAACGCGTGGCAGCAAAATTGTTAAATTTTGAACCAAATTTTTGGCCAAAAACAATACTGTAATGATGCCCCAGCCTCCATATTCGCCAGACATGCCTTTGTCTGACTTTTTCCTATTCCCAAAGATAAAGAGAACCTTAAAGGGCCGTTGTTTTGCAAGCATAGATGGCATTAAAAGTGCATCGCTGAAAGAACTAAAGGCTATCCCAAAGATCGAGTTTTAGAAGTGTTTCGAGTATGGGAAGGAGAGCTGGCACATGTGCATAATATCCAATGGGGACTATTTTGAAGGCGACAACATTAACGTAGACGAATAAATAAATATTTGTTTCAAAAAACGAAAATTCCCGATATTTTCTGAACACACCTCGTATAATGAATTTTTAATGAAGAGCAATTTAAAAATGTTAAATGTTGGAAAAATGTTAAATAAGTTATGATGATTTAAAGTTAAATACATATATCAACCTCAGCTGGCCTATTTAAATAGTTTTGTTAATAACATTTGTGGAATGTGAAATATTTCAGCTTAAAGGTATTTTCTCATAGAAACGTTTAATGTAAAACAATTCTCTTAAATTCAAACTAAAAATTATCTTATCTTCTTCAATCGGTCTATAATTTAAACTTTATTGTTGCCAAGTATTTTCGTTGCTGTTTATTGTATAAAAATAGATTATTTACCTTCCTACATTTATTATTAAATTCCTAATGGCACAAAAATAAATACCTAGTAAATAAAACTCATTCTTAAGGAGATTGGAGATATTTCGCACAACAAAAATGTTTTTAATTAATTAGGTAAATTTAAGGACTTGTTCTTACCTTATAGCATAAGCAAATGCCATCACAGCGTCTGACACGAACTGAAGTTGATCCTCAAAAACAATATTGGATTTGGTTAACTCTTCCTTTCCTGTACACATGTCGTTGTATTTTAAATTGTAGGGTGTTTTGGAACTGTTAGGGTAGCGACATTGGAACTGATGCTCCCAAAATTCTGCAAACAAATAAACAATATTGGTGTTTTATATTATTTATAGCTATTGTTGCAAAAATGGCGAATGCTCCGGGATTAATTAATTAATATAGAATTTGTTAATAACTTTACTAAAACGCTACCTTTTAATTACTAGCATAAACCATCGTATCGAAAATAAATTTTTATTGTAAGAATATGACCTTATTCTGTTAAGTAATTCATTACAATTATTGTAATTTTTTAATTTATAATGAAAAAGCCTTATATAAAACTAATTTTAGAAAAAGACATAATTTACCTATATAATATATAATATTATTAAACCGTCACAGTATTTTTATACGGTTTATGGGTCATGTTTGCATAAAATATCTTAGTTTTTTATTAATTATATTACAGTAGCTTGTAAATTGAAACCTTGAGAATATTATGTTCATCTAAACATGTCTGAAATATAATATAGCGACATAATTAATTGTCACATTTTAGAATATCACCAGGTTTCTTTGTACCAAAATTTAATAAAAAACACTATTAATAGTAATATGATTTTGTGAAATATCCGAACAAGCTAGTATCTGTCGAAAATATAATTTTTCAAGCATATTTGATAGTCCGGGATACGACCCAACGTCTCTTTGTATTCTAAAAAATAATTTCGCCATGTCAGCTATTACTTTTTCAATTTTCTCTTTTAACCTTTTTGTTATAAATCATGCGACTATTTTTTTGTTGTCGTTTTTGACGTGAAAAAGGTATCATTTTAAAAATCAAAGGATATTCAAAATTAAAAAATAAATCAATTAACAATTAAGTGGGTATGTGAGGAAACTCACATTAAAAAATATAAATGCTAAAAAACTTTATAAAGTTTATCCTTAATTAATTATTAATTAAGCATACTCAACATATGGTTTTGGCATCAATTTACTTAACTTTTAAGAACCTACAGGAAAAATAAATTAACTCCGAAATGCTTTAAACGTATTTAATGATCATGCGGAAATTAAAGCGTTTCAAAGGATGCATATAAAAAAATCGTTTCCTTTCTAAAATAAAATGAAAATTTAACATGTTTTTCAAATTTTTATATTTAAATGGTATCCTGTCGATTTTAATTTCTTATCTGCAGGCGCGCGCGTTATTCAGCACCACATTTTTAGTTACAATCAACTTTTAGGTATAAACTTGTTATATAATAACGTTTTGATTAATTTTGGATTACGAATTCTATACATTCATAATATATGTATGTAAGATGTTATTGACTATTTAATTGATCATTTTCTTTAGCCAAACATGTATAAAACGACGCGTTACGATATTCTATTTGTTAATTATTAATATATCATATTTCTCACATAATATGATTTAATAGTTAGAAAATGTGACTTATTTATATTAATCATTATTTACGAAATAAAAATTTGGCAACTAGTAATAAACAATATTTATTATTAATAAACTGTTAACTAAATACGAATATAACGTATATTTACAATAAATTAATAAACGATTTTATTTGACACAAATTTAGTATATTAATAACAAATAAATTTGACCCAAATAAATAATTTTTTTATAAAAAATAAATTAAATTTCAGAATATATTGTTAGTAAATAAAATTGATTTACAGCAAATCTGTTATATTTATTATAAATAAAAAGGTCTCAAATAAATATTTATTAATTATTAACCCTAGTATATCTTTCAGTGCATGCGCGGAGCGATTGCGAGTGGGGTTTTTGACACGACTGCAATTACATACATTACTCATTACTTTGCAGGAGTGTAAAAAAAATATTTAGAGGAATGGTTACTTTTGAGACATCAGCCATTGATGTTTATAGAGTAACTAAATATTGGTGTTTTTGCGGTAATGTGCAAAATATTGCTCACTATTTCCTGGCAGTACCAATTGATGTGACAAAAGTAACCATTGCTGTTGTTTAGGTAAAATACAGGGTGTTATGTTTTTCATGTAATATATTAAAATAACGAATACATTTTAAAATAAGGTGTAACAGAAAAATATTTAAAAAAAAAATCTCCAAAGATAAAGATAATATGCATTAGAAGTTTTTACATTTTTTGTGATAGGCCACTGGTCAAACACTAGTGTTCTATAGGTACTATGTTAATTTTTTGTGTCCTAAATTAAGACACAAAAAATACATATATTGCTATATCAAAGTCACGTGGTTGGATGGGATGGTTGATCAGTGGATAACTCTTTGGTAGGATAATGGTTATTACCCTAAGGACCTACCCATTTTAATATATAATATTAATTACATACACCCCGTATTTTTTTTTAAATGTAAAGTAATTTCTGTGTAGGTAAGTGATTTTTTTGTATATTTGGATGTGGATCAATTTTCAATAAACTTTATCAAAATAATGATATTATCGCCTTTAAATAATGAATATGATAAATTTAAAGCATGAAGATTATGTCAAAGAGATTAAATTTGCTATTAATAAGATAAAACGGCAGTAGAAGGTACTTCTAAAGCAAACCGGTAAAAACTTGTTGACATAGTTTATAACTTATCCTTGAACATAATCCTTATTAATTAAGCATTGCTTAAGTTTTTTTAATTTTAACTGAAATCAATTAAAACTAAAATAATTTCATTTCATCTAATCATGCAAAGATATCAACCTTTTCTGACACAATATATTCTTTTAATTTTTCTAAAAAAAAGATTTTATCCTGTTTCAACAATTTTTATTAAAAAAATGTGTTTTTTCGAACGCAAATATTGTTTTATTTTAACTATACTATATCTCGTCAATTTTATCAAAAGCTTAATTTATGGCAAGGGTTTTAATTTAAATTGCCAGACGCTTAATTACATTTTTAAATAACGAAGCAAAAACAATTCTCTTTTAAATAAAATTTGTTTAATTTTTTATTATTTGAATTATATTAAATTTTAAGGGTTGGTCATATTTCAAGCGTACAATTATTTATATATTATAACACTCATAAGTATATATAGAAATACTTTATATTAATACTAGTTCAAAAGTCAAATTACACTGTGGGTAAATTTTCAATCAAATTGAAATATCAAAGGTGAACGCTCGGACACGTAAACATAATTTATGGGCGTAGATTCCAAATCCGTGCTCGGTTTAGCTGTATCAGGTCTAAAAGTGTTTTTCGTATTGGCAATCCGATCCGGGGACCGTGTATTACAATTTGTAAAATAATATTATATTTCACCTCTTGTCCCAACATTCCTATGCTTTTTATTTCGTTTAATATAATATAATATAATATAATATAATATCCTCAATTATACTCATAAAAAAATCAGCCAAAAAACATTTTGAATTTCCTAAATTATCTAAAAAAATTCTAAAGGACACGTGCTCCTTTTGATCAAGTAACCTCAAATTTTGCAAGAATTTGTTTTTTAAATCTGAAACTCATGTGCCCACTTCTAAATTTATACAGGGCGTTTCCCAATGGTATTTTCCCAATGGTATTTTCAAGTTTTGGTGCATATATGCACCAAAACTTGAAAATTAAATATCTTTGAATTTTGACCTGATACAGTTAAACCAAGCAAAAAATAGTACCTAAAATCCGGCGGCGAAAATTAATATGTGCTTTCTCCGCCTGGTGTATAATGTACTGTCATAAAATATGTTATAAATATAAATGTCATATACAAGGTGGCCCAATGAAAACAAAACAGAGGAATTTTCAGATAGTAAACAAATTCAGTTTCGAGGGGGTAGTAGTCTCAACCATTAAAATTTTATTAGACACGATACGGCAAGTGATACCTCATTTAAAAGATCTTGCTCCACTGAGGATCATGAAAAATGGTCAAATTCTATTAATTTGGGTCCGAAATATTTAGAAATTGCAACAGCGCACTTCGCTTCTTATACAAATAAAAGATTTGATAAAAAATCGTGTAGAATCATAAAAAGGCCTTCATTATTCTTTTAAGTGCAGCAAATTAGTTCACTTTCATTTAACAATGGTTTACAGTATTGTGGTAGGAGTTAAAATAATAATTCTTTTTTTAAGTGAGTGAGTGAGGAAATCTTGTAGCAGATTTATTCAGTGAAAACCATCCGGATAGGCATGTTTTCGTTTTCGTTTTCAAGTGGCGAAGTTTCGAAACAAAGGATCAGTAGCGAACAGAAATGAGTTTTAACACAAGCTGTTGCTGAACTTTAAGTAAGAGGAAATTAGCTACGGTTATCGACATTCCTAAAACGACCATCTAACGGATCCTTTGATCTCATTAATTTCGTCCTTACAAGATTCATTTAGTCTACGAATTAAATGGGGACGATTTAGACCGGCGCACAGTGGATCGATAGATAGGAATTTGTGGACATAGCACCAAAGTGTGAGAAGATGAGGACATTTTAGGTTTAAAATAAATACTTATCAATTAAATAACGTTGTTATTTACAAAAGTAAATATAAAGTCTAGTTACTTGATATACAAGGCGTTTTAATACACCAAGGTCCACTATAGAAAAGGTTTACCAAGTTTTTGGTTTTTTATTTTTATCTTTTTCAAAAAAAAAATTTTTTCCACGAAATTTGGTGAAAACTTACCTTTTTATGTCCCAAATACACTGTAATTTATTTGATTTGAAATATTTCTTATTTCGCCTTATTTTGACTTAATATCAAAAAAGCACCCTAATTTTCAATGGAAAATTCTCGCGTCAAAATATCAGCTTTTTTCAAGAAGTCGGTGTGCTTTTTGTTTGTTGAAATCTCTACTTTCTGATGGTGTAAAAAAATATACATTACTATGGTAAATGTTCTCAGAAAATGCAAAAAATATTATAATGAATAACGAAAAAAACTCAAATTCGAAAATTTATTTTAATCATTATGTACAATTTCATCAAAAAAATGTGATTTTTGCAATTTTTTTAGTTAAAAAGTTTATTTATTAAATTCTAATAACATTTATGTCAGAAAATCTCATAATATATAAAAATACATGTAAATCATACTATTGAATTTAAA